TTGGGCTAGCAGCCCCCTAGGGACTATGTTACCAGTGAGTGAGGTTTTTGTTGTTATTGGTTGCCATCCGGTCAGAACCGACTCATAGCTGACCTGCTAGCAGATTTTCCAAGGCAGTAAATGACATGGGGGGAGATTACCCATTCTCCTAGTGATGCAAACATGTACTCAGCTGCTGACTAAAAATCTGGAGGCTCAAGTCCACCAAGAGGTGCATCAGAAGAAAAGCCTGGCAAACCCCTAGTGTCCCAAACCCAGCCACTAGAAACAACAGGTGCACTCTGATACACATGTGGTTGCCATGAGTAGAAAAGTCTGTGATCACAACTGGTTGTTGGTAAATGAAGAAAAGCCATTCTCTTTTTTTCCTTTGTCACTTCTAAGTGGTTTGAAGTGCTGTTTTGATGTGTGTTTTGTTGTTTTTTTTTTAAATCAGTTGGTACATATCCTTGCAATTAAAGAAAGTTGAAGAGTTTTCAGATAACTAGTAAAGCATATATGGGGACCCAAAGGGGAAGGAGTGGGAGCAGTAGGGTGAGGATGGGTCGGGGAGAAACCACAAGGTTTCACAGTATTGTGGGTGGAGGGACGGGGTGAAGGAAATGGGAAGGACCCAGTAGGCACCTGAAAAGATTGGTTAATGATGGGCAAAGTCCAGTGATGATTGATTTTAAAAACAATGCATGGGAATGACTGTATGAAACACAACAGGAATGAAGATTAGTGTGAAACACATGTGTACGAACTTTGGGAGCAAAAAAATATTGAAGAATTTTTATTTCGAAATGTGTATTTAAGCTGCTATCAAGTAGAAGTGTCAGTACAGTTAAGGAGAAGCATATGACCTTGACTTAGGAGATTCGTGTCTACCACTGACCTTAGGCAAGCCACTTAATCTTTTTAAATCTTAATTTCTTCCTCTGAAAAGATAAAGTCTGGATTAGTTTTAGGAATGTTAAATGTTGTTAGGTGCCCTTGAGTCAAACTGACTCACAGCTGACTCTCCAGTAGGTTTTCAGAGACAAAATTGCAGAGGGGGAAACTGCTCACCTTTCTCCCACAGAGCAATTGGTGGATTTGAACCACTAGCATTTGCTTTGGCAGTTCATCCACTAGACCACCAGAGGTCAATGTCTAAATGGAAGTCTTTAGAAGGAAAGGTACTATGAAGACTAGATTTTACTGCATGATACTTAAAAAAAAAAGCTAAAACAAACAATTCCACACAAAGGTGTGACTTAAATGAAATATCAATCATAAAGGTGATGGTGCCTGGCTTATAGCAGGCATTCAAGAAATCCATGCTTTTACATTTTGAGAGAAAAAAATTTTGACCTTATTAAATGACAAATTACCTAACAGCCCATAGTTTTATATGTTTATATGTTGTTGTTGATTGTCGTGAGTTGAGCATGACTCATAGTGACCCCATGAACAAAAGCCCTGAAGTCCTCCCACAACCATCGCCATTTATCAGGTTCACAGAGTTTCCAGAGACATGCTATTTAGGAAGTGGATGCCACTCCCACTTCCAAATATATTTAGGGTCAAACAGGTGAAGCCTAGAATCCTAAAATCTTAAGAGTTAGAAGGAAATTAACATCGTCTTAAACATACCTCTTCTTGAATAGAATTGTGTTATGCATTCTCTCCCTCATTACTTCTATTATTCGTGAACTCCTGGTCCCACAGCCGCTGCTGTGGTCAAGACAGATCCTGAGAGTGAGCTAGAAGGGCCTTTCCTGGTCTCATCCAGCTCTGTCCTCAGGAGCAGCAGCCCTCTTTGTCTCAAAGAAGCTGGTCAGAAATTGCGAGAATAACCTAGTCTTCTCTCTGCCTCTGTACACTGTTAGCTCCTCTAATCATCTTTGATGAATTTCTGGAGATAAGTATCCCTCTTGAATCCATCACCAACCCATCTTGATCCTTTTGTACTTAATCCTAAGGCTATTAAACACCCTTTCCTTCTACTAGACAGATACTCCGTTGGTTCATATTAAGTGTATATGGAATAAACTCCCTTGATCTTTTTAACAAGCACTGCTGACAAGCCAAGGCTCTCTGATTTCGCCCCCCCCCCAAATTTTAAATGTTGAGCTTCGCATTTATTCTTGTTAACTTTCATCGTGATGGTTTCAGCCCATCCTGTTCCAACCTGTCGAAATCATTTTGAATGTTGATACTGACATCCATCATATTAGCGATCCCTCCCAGCTTTCTGTCATCTGCAAATGTGATCAGCATGCCTTCTCTGGCTCCATCCAAGTTTTGTGATGAAAACTCACTGTATTTTTCAAAAAGTCTTCTAATTTAATTGATTTGGGTCCAATTTTTGATAATTTTGTAGAGCTATCTAGAAGGAGGAGAATCCAAGCGATGATGTTCAAGCCGATTCCAGAACAATGCAGCTTAAGTACGTTTGCTTAGAAAAACTGAGCCAGGGCCTAAAGGTAGTATCAGCATGACCCAGACTCTGGCATGATCAATCTGCTGCTTTGGACAAAGCTAACAATTAAATTGGATAAATGTTTGGTGAGGGGGATGATGGCTCGAGTCTAACGGACTGAATGGTGCAGAGGTAAGCAAACATACTCGATCAATTTTTCACTGTAGAGACAGTTCCCAGCTGGGACAACTCAAAGTGCTGGGGGGAGGTTTGCCATGGAATGACTAATTAAGCTATGCAGACCAATAACTGGATAATTTGAAGGCCAAAGAAATGTCACTTTGGAAAGCTACATACTCTGGACTGTCCATTAATAGTAACTTTAAGTGTTCTGGAACAAGGTCATGTTCGGTGCTTGTAGCCTTGGCCTAGAAAGCTTTGCTAAGTTCTATAAATTCAGGAGAACTGCATCCAGCGAAGCCAGGGTGCCTCAGGCAATAGAAGTCCTTATTCCCTGGAGGGTTCCCCAGCACCCTCTCACTGACTCTACAGAGGCAGCAAAACTGTGTTCAGGGTCCAGTACAGTTGGCTTCTAAATTTAGCTCTGATGCACATTAGCTGTATGATAGTGGGAGTCAGCCCTTCACCTTTCCCAGTTTTCACCTTGGAACAGACCTCATAATCCTTACCTTAAAGGTGCTGCTGTACAACACTTGACCTGTGAAGTGCTCATACTCAGTACACTCAACAAACAGCAGAGGAACTTGGTCAAAGAGTTCAAGTACAGGGAGGAGACTGCGCTACAGCTTTGACACGCAGCATACTTCATCTTCACAAACTCAGGGAGGCTAATCTATTACCATTGTTCCCAAATCAGAGATGAGGAAATTAGAATTTTATAATCCTTTGCTCAAGGTCACTCAGTGGATGACAGTGTTGAGATTATTTTAATCTACATGACACCCAAATCCAAGCCATTAACCACTGTATTATTCTGTGAAACTCTTACTTGAGACTTGACTTAGAGAGGGTACTTGCAATCAGAGTAAGAGCCCTCCACGTCCGGTGCTAAGGCCACGCTGTACTTCTTGAGCAGGTGGGGGAAGGAGGGCTCATAACCTGTATATAGTGAAGGTGGGGTGAGGTAAAGGGGCTCATGGGGGGTTCAGCAGTCACTCATTTCTGTCAATACTGTAACCTAAAGGGGGGTGGGGCACATAACAGAGACCCACACTTTCAGCCAAGACATTTTTGGCCAGGCCATTTAGACTTCAGGTTACAATGATGTAACCTCTCTGAAGAAGCGATAGGTCAATAAATGCCAATGCAAACTGGGCAAACTGCTTGAAGATAACTCAAGGCTCATTCAAATGATTTGATAGAGTAGTTGCCAGATGATTCAACTTTAAGTCCTGGATGGGCATCTTTCTCATTTCTAAAGGAATAAATTGTGTTAGTCTTGAAGTGAGAACTCTTTCTTCAAGTTATGTGGTTAAAAAGGCATCTTGCTCACGAACTGTGATCTTCTTTCATCCATGCTTTCTTTGAACAAGACCTTGTTGTATTAGAAGCTTGCTTTTCAAAGACCTTCAAACTATTACCCTACAATAACATTCTACAAATAACTCTGGTGGTGCAATAGTTAAGCACTCAGTTGCTAACTGAAAGGTTGGTGGTTCAAACCCATCATGTGGCTCCTCAAGAGAAAGACTTGCAATCTGTTTCCATAAAGATTACAGATAAAGAAAACCCTATGGGGCATGTCAGATCTGCCACATGGTGTCACTATGAGTCAGTCAACTCAATGCCAACCCACAACAACGTTTATAGATTTGTTCAGAAAATCTGTGCCCTCAGTTTTCCACGTGTTATCCAAATTCTTGGGAATTTGCTGAGTTCAAACTGATGAGATTCAAAATTATCCCACAAGAAATAAAATGCTTATATGCTTGGTTGACTTAAATAACAACAATGATAATCCTATGTGGTTTTTCAGAACATTTCACAGTCATTATTTTTGTGTGATTGATTGATGCTCAATGCAAGCTCTGAGAGTAAATGCTGTAATCAGCTCCCCTGGAGGGAGGAGGAAGCCAAGGCCAGGTGACACAGGAAGTAGTAGGGGAGGCACACCATCCCAGGCTTCTTGCCCCTTCCAATGCCAAGGCCAGTGCTTGTCCCTCCCCAACAAACACATCAATAAACTCTGATGCAACTGGGCAAACTGTTTAAGGATAACTCCAGGCTCATTCAAATGCTTTGACCATAATATGAAAACAACAAACCAAGCAGCAAGTCACTTTGTCCAGACTGTAAAAGAAATTGACAAACTGTAATTTACCTGTGCATATTTTCCCTGGCACAACTACCAGGAATCCTGTAACATAGGGCAACACTGTCAAAGTGACTTATTAAGGCATTTAGAGATCCAATAAGACAACAAGTACTTGGTGAGATGACATACTGAATTTCTAAATGAAAACAGTACAGAAAAGGTATGAAAACTGTCTAGCACAGTGCCAGGCACAAAGTCATTGAAGCAACGGTATTATTATCAGTATCATTAACAGTAAGAGCTCCTAATCATTTGAAAGCAGGACATCACAAAACTTACTCTGGAATAATCAAGATCTCTGGGTGTTGAGTCTGTTAAAGCTCGGACAAGGGCATTCATCATACAGATCGGAGGAGAAGGTGGGGAGGGCTGAGACGGTTCCTGCTGTAACGGGCTCTTTGGTTTGGAAGGCAGCCGACCTCTCCTCCCTTTTAAACTATCTGTCCGGACAACTGATGCCGAGAGAAAGAAAGGAAGAAATCTTCAAAGATATCCAGGAATAGCCATCAATCACAAAGAGTCAAACACATTACAGTTGAACAATCACCAATGAGGCCGGCCAACTGTTCAAGCATGGCAGTAAGTTTTGAATAATAGTCACACAATGATTTAATAGGAGTTGAAATAAGCAGCCACACACATTAAAAAAACCCACCCCCACCACCCCCACCTCCTACTCACATTTGGCAATGAATTAGCCCTAAATAGAACACATATGATTCTATTTCTTAAGTAGAACACATATGCATGTACACAAGCTTTTTATTGATTTAGAAAACTTAGAATCAGTAGTTCTCAGCTACTTTAAAATGCAAATATGTAACATTAAAATGTTGCAGGGACAAAGGAACTAGGGAATTATATTCCAACATCAATTAAAATTTTTCCATGATTTGAGAGACAATGTATAAACAGACCAGATAAAATATCAATGTAGTCTTACCTTCTTTAACCATTCCGACACTGAGACACTTCTGGAATCGACAGTACTGACATCGGTTTCGACGTCTCTTGTCTACTGGGCAGTTTTTATTTGCCAGGCAAACATATTTTGCATTTTTCTGCACCGTTCTCTGAGAAAATACAAAACCGAGATAGTCAACTAATAGTTTCTGGAAAGAGGTAGAACCTGACAAGATGTATTTTAATTACAATGTGAAAAGCGACAGTGCAATTCGTATAATTAAATAAATTTAATTTCCTAACACGCTAGCCTGCAGGAAAAACAATTTTATTAGTGTTAGCTGCTGACAATGAAAATCATCTTGAATTGTTCTGAAGCAAGTCTCAGGAGACACCCAACTCTGAGTGATAAAATCATATCTGCAATTACCAGGTCAACGTATCATACCTTAGAGGATTAGATTATTCCCACTTTTAATATCCCTTTGGGAACAATTTCCTACATGTTCCACTCCCCTGATTATTGCTGACCTTATTAAAATAAAATAAAAATTACCTGGGATATACTTTGTTTGCAATCACTATCGTAAGTCAAATAGCACAGTAACTGGCTTTGTTACCCAATAGAGATGAGAAGATACAAAGGAAAATCAGGGCTTGTCTAGCTAGAACACATAGAAATAAGTTTTAACAGAAGAAAAAAATATTAACTAGCTGTGTAGTGTGGTGGTTTTGTTTGTTTTCAAGGGGGTCATTTCTGAATTTAAAAGCAAAATCTTAAAATTTTATATAAAACGCATCATCACTACAAGAAAAAAAAGCAATGTAAAAGAAAAAGAAATGATACCCATTTTTTTTTTGGCAGATTTGTGTTTTATTGTTTTAGGATAGCCATTTTGATAGACATAAAATGGGAATATTGAAAAACACCTATCATAAATTTAGACTCAGCTAAAAGTTAACATTTTTATTTCTGAATTGTATAGTATTTCAAAATAACACATGGAGGAAAAAATGCATTTTATGCTCTAATTTGAAAAGATGATTTGAATTTCTTTATTAAAAATGTGCAAATTAATGTATATTTATCACTTAGGGTAAAACTGTTCAAATAATACCTGGGCCTAAACAACACTATAAGTTGATAATTATTTGGCAAGCCTGGGCTGCACATTTTATAAAAAGCAGAAGCAGCAAGAAATCCAGATAATTTGGGCTTTATTCTGGGTTTGTAAAACAACAACAGAAATATCACAAAGCCAATATATTTCAAGCCCCAGATAAATAGTTTAAAATGCAGAATTACAAAACAGAGATTCCTGCGTTTCCAGTAGCCTTTACATTCTCAATGGCCTGTAAAGGTAGAAACCTGCGTCTCCTGAACAAAACTGTCTTTCAGAGAACACGAGGTAATTTCGAAAACTCTTTTTCTTGCCATCACCTCAAGGCTATCTCCTAGTCTGAACGCTGCTGACATTTTCCTCTAGGTATATACATTTCTCCAATAACCCCAAACCTTCCCTGCCCTTGTGTGTGCCAGCAGAGTTTAAGGACAGGGGAAAAATCGTTATGGTTCAATCACTGAATTCCCATCATTAACTGCACTTCATGTCACATTTTTAAAGAATTCAATTTAATGGCAAGAAAGCCACTGGGTAAAACCTGCTCCTATTCCCTTAATTAACAGATCTGTGGGGTGGTTCTCCCTATCCCATCCCCCGCCCTTTCAAGTATAGATTTGTTTTCAAGGGACTGCTTCAGAACAGGGAAGCTGTTGGAGAACACTTAATTGACTTTTCTAGACTCAGAATACATTAGCACACCTGTATTTTGGTCAACTCTCAATTGCTTACTGTTGTTATGTGCCTTCATGTTGCCTGCAACTCAACTCTGATGCCTGCCCTGTCCTGAGCCAGTCTCACTAATTCCAACACATCAACTCCCATTATCCAATTGTTTTTTGGGGGAGGAATTACATTTGTGGGTTATGCATGCATCTTCTAACTAGTTTTCTATCCCTCCCCTTTCTGCCCATTACACTGCCTTTCAGCATTTCCACCGGTGTGAAATTCAAATCTGCTGAGACTCAGTTACTTAAAAGCAGCTCTCGAGGGAAAAATGTTGGTTAATGTTCTGTTAAGACAGAATAGAGAGGGGAAAGGTGAAAGTGAGGGTTCCAGATTTAAACCTGCATGCCTGTATAACACCTATCAAATGTCCAAAGCCTTTCCCAGTCATCTGAAGGATTCGATTGATCACAAAGTTCTTATTTTCAGATTAAAACCCCACCCAACCTGTCACTTTTGGTGTATGCACCAACAGACATTGGAATTTTTACAAATACTCTGTGGTTTCTACTTAACAATGAAGCACTGTTTGTATGGCTCCTTAGAGATTCTAAAGAGCTTTCATGTAATGTGTTCTCTCAATATGGTACTCCTCTGAGGTAGGGTTTATTCATTAATAAGAAAAGTGAGGCCTAGAAAGAAGTGCCACTGCCAAAGTCAGATAGTTGGTAAGTCAGATGAGTGAGCTCTCTGATTTGATTCTAATTCTAGCATGTCTCTGGCCACCTCCTATTCAGGGTATGTCTGACGGGCTTTCCAATCAGCATCCCTCTTCCCCACCCTTTCACCACACCCTGCACTGGACCTGGGAGTGGCTATTTGGGGAACATCAGGCAGCTTGGGAATACCTGTGAGTGTGAAGAGGGTGAGGAATCAAGTGTCTGAAGGCCAAAGTGCTGGACACTAAGAAAACAAGGGCCTTCCCCCTGAGCAATGGAAAGGGCAGTAAGCCCAGGTGCCAAGTGAAACCTGCTGGACTTGCCTCACCTGCACCTGAAGTCACTGTTTACACTAGGGGTCCCCTCTCTCTGGGCTTCAGTGTACTCACTGAAGAGATAAGGGTGAAAGTGAAGGCCCTGGACCTTGTACACTTCTGTAAGGAGGTCAGGGTGTGCACACTTGTTCCTGTGTGGGGCACTGAAGCAAGGGAAGGCTCCACGATGAAAGAGCAGGTTGGTGAGACCCTAACTTCTCCCTGCTGCAGAGCGAGCTGTCATCCGCTGCATCTGGCCGATTGCCCTGTCTATTCGGCAGCTGTTGAGCTGCAGGAGGTTGGCATCCTGCCTTCACCTCACTCCCCAGGAGTGTGTCCTGGGCCAGTTGGATTACCTACCTCTCAGAGTCTCCATTCCTCATCTTTGAAACAAAGGTAATTACAATGCACTTTCAAGGCGCTGGTAATAAAAATAGCCGGTAAGTGGCCAGAACTCAAACCCACGACTGATTCCAAAGCAAAGGCTCTCTCTCTCTCTCTCTCTCTGAGGATCAAATGAGATCTGACTGTGCACACAGAACTCATCCCTCCACAGGTCACCCTGGGTGCACAAACAAGAAAAGCAGTGAGCTCTCTGTAGGTGTGAGGTCACAGACTTTTTGGAGACTCTGCTGAAAGCTCTCCCTAGAAAAACTGCTCACATTCTACGTCAGGTCTACCCATGGCGCCTCCTGTATATGAACTTGAACATGGACGTGAAAGTGCAAGGAAAGGCTACTGGCACCGCATAGGGAGACAATTAGACCTCTCCCGCCGGGAAGGGCGGAGACCACCCCTCCACGCACCCCAGCCGCTCATTTCCGGGCGAGGCCCGAGACGGCTGGGGCGCCAGCAGAGGGGCCTCCAGGGGGAGGCGCGCTCACCTTGAAGAAGCCCTTGCAGCCCTCGCAGGTGCGCACGCCGTAGTGCTGGCAGGCGGCGTTGTCTCCGCACACGGCGCACGTCCCCTCGCCCGACGACGAGCTCCGGTTGGGCGGCGACGGCAGGCTGGGGCTCTCACCCAGGAGGCCCGAGGCGGCGGGGGAGGCGGTGAGGCTGAGCGGCGAGAAGGCCAGCGCGGCCGCCCTCTTGGCCAGCGGCAGCCCGTACGGGTGGCCCTCGAGCGCGGCGGCCTGGCTGCCCGCGGCGG